AGAAAGAAAGAAAGAAAGAAAGAAAGAAAGAAAGAAAGAAAGAAAGAGAAAAAGAGAAAGAAAGAGAGAGAGAGAAAGAAAGAAAGAGAGAGAGAGAAAGAGAGAGAAAGAAAGAGAGAGAGAGAGAAAGAGAGAGAGAGAGAAAGAAAGAGAGAGAGAGAGAGAAAGAAAGAAAGAAGGAAAGAAAGAAAAAGAGGAGAGAGAGAGGTGTAGATATACTCAAATCTTCACTTTCCATGGAAGTAGCTTGCTACATTAAAGACAGTGAAACCTGGTTTTAACAAATTAGTTGAGAGAAAGGATGTCTGTTATTCAGGAAGGCCTGTTAAATACCAAAGAATGTTATTACGTTAAAGCACAGTGTTCAAGGAACACTGGTGAACATAGCTTCATTCCACGTGAAGATCTCATTTTTAAAAATATATTGATAAGATCGAGCGAGTCAACGACGGGCAACCAAGATGGCGGAAGGTCTGAGGGATAAAACATAATCAGGAGAGATTTGAGGAGTTGAATATATACACCCTGGAGGATAGAAAGGACAGTGGGGACATGATTGAACCCTTTAAATATATTAAAAGAATGAATAAGGTTCTAGAAGGCAGCGTTTTCAATCTTAAGTGAAAATCAAGAACATCCGGGGCACAACTTCAAACTCACAGGAGGGAAATTCAGAAACTAAGTTAGAAATTAATAGTTGCACAGAAAAAGGAGTGGAAGCTTGGAACCAACTTCCAATAGAGGAAACGGGCCAGTCACCAGGAGATGGTGAATTCTAGTCTCATCTTAGTAAGGGCTTCAATTTTCTGAATTCCCCAGACAGCCTTAGAATTTAAATGCCTGTGGAGATTCTCAGTCTCAGATCTGCAGATCTGTACATCAGGGAAATGATACAGCCACTTCATAAGCGCATGGCACAACATAGGAGAACAAATCCATCAGGACTAGATTCAGCAGTCCATCTGCATTTAAAGGACAAATCCAGGTACCTCTTGAAAAAAACACCTTTGGGATATGAGGAATTTAGGCTTTATACATCACCCTAACTCACCGCCAGGGCTCATTAATTAATTGATAGACAGACAGACAGACAGATGATGGGAGTATTTTCTGTCTATTGTCAGGATTCTGGCAGTTACCCCAATTAAATCACTAGTCTCGAGCCAAATTTCCAAAACTTAGAAAGGATTTATTGGGAGTTAACATGCCGGCATTCCCTGGGTGTAGCCGACTCTGAGACACATAATTCATTGTCACCTTTGACTCTGGCTTTCCCCCCACCCCCTGGGTGTATCATAATTCATATTCTCCAATGGGACACATCCATAGTCAAGAGTCATCAATCACAGAATTTTGCACGGCAGAAACTTCAGTCACCTAGCTACTATTTTTGAAAACATTTATGGAATGCAGTCTTGGTTTTGCAAGCTGCTACACTGCTCCCCCCTCCCTTTCTCTTGGCAGCTCTAAAAAGGCTAGAGAAATATTTTATGAGTTGACATCTACATCATCTTTTTCCTCCCATCAATTCTCCTCTTGAGTTTTTATTTCATTGAATTCCTTTGAGGAGAGAATACCTCTTACACCTGGGCGCTGCTTCTCCAATGCTTCGTAAGTCAAGACTCTGAAGGTCTACTCACCGCCACCAGAATCTGCAGGGCGCTGTGCATGACCTCGATGTAGCGGTACTCCAATGCACAACCGATCACCGAGACGTACGAATGGCTGTCCAGACCTTTGATGCCGATCATGGGTGTCTCCTTCCTTACGCATCCAGGACCGTTCTCACTCCACCACGATTGGTGTTGGGAGATGTTAAATGTCAAAAGTTCACTGTCCTGAGAGGAGAAGTGAAAACTCCAATAAATAATGCCTTTTTCAACTAGAGCCCAAGATCAGTTTTTGCACTTTATCTAGGCTGTTCTTGCACAATACAAAGAGATCTGTGTACAGACAGCAAATGGGTTCATTCATCATACTGAGACAGTTTAAAACCGCTGTTTGCTGAATGGTATCATTGACTGGGGTCATTTGCTCGCTAAATCACAGGCCATGGTGTAGAAGTTACCATGGCTGATGTCAGTGTAGTATATTCAGCTAGAAATCAAATAAGCCATATGATAGCTGTATAAAGTCTAAATGATGTGTAAAGTCTAAATTTCCCATGCTGCCTGGGGAATTTGGCAAGCGGAAGTCCTTACTTAGGCAGGACTAGAACTCACCGTCTCCTGGTGATTGGCCCAAAGTCACCCAACTGGTTTTTATGCCTGAGGTGGAACTAGAACTCACAGTCTCCTGGAGCTGTAGCAAGGAACAGAAGCTCACCCCGTCGTGCGGTGCTTGGGTCTCAAACCAGGGCTGTCAAGCTCAGTGTCTTTAACCACTGAGCCATCATGACCCCAGGTCTAGCTAAAAAGAATCTCTTCCTACTTATGGCAACTTAATCAGGTTGTTGGAAACCTATGAAAAACAAATGGTTCTCAACAAGCAAGCTGGAAATACTACAGTTGCAACACTTTTGAAGGGAGCTTGTTTGGTGTTGTGCATTTGCATTCACACAGGAATAGAAGATCTGGATTTAGTGGGGCAAGAGCTGGAAGAATTTTTGCCTAAAAATCCAATTTAGTTTCCTCTTTGTTCTGAATATTAGACGTCTTTCCCTCCTGTACCCTGCAGCCTTCTCATTCATTGCACAATCTAGTCTCCTACTGAACTCCCAGCAGCAATTAACCTCTTGGGTCATTTTAGTATAAGGCTCTGACTTGGGCTTGATCAATAGCTACTTAATGTCCATCTCCCCCAGGTCTCCGTCACTGTCTGCTGTGTGAAAGGATACACTGAGGCCTTCAGACAGAGTTTCTCAACCTGGCCAACTTTTATGGAGTTGGAATTCAACTTCCAGAATTCTTCCTACCCCATAAATCACCTTGAGAAAATAGCACTCCTGTTAGGAATATGGGTCACCTAACAGCTATTTGGGTTAGAAATATATATAAACCAGGATAAACATTTTAAAACTGTATCTCTAAGAAAATGCAAAACTGTAATTAGGTGTGGTTTCTCAAACAGCCATAAGATGGAGCCAGAAACCTGGGGTTTTTAGTCTTAGTCTCAGAAGACAGTGTGTCTGAGTGAGTATCTCTGTTTCCTTCTGTTGGAAAGTATTGCCATTCCTCCATTTCTTCTAATTGACTGATATTACTGGATTTAATGTAAGTCTGTTACTGAACTGTTTTTGACATTGGACTTTGATATCTGGATTATCCCCGGATTGAAAATTGACTGATTTAACCTGTGAATGATTTTGGACTGCCTATTTTGGACTTTGCTTAACGTTTCTGGAAGTAAAAACCTACATTTACTGTACAGTGTATCTGTGTGCTCTGTGTGTATTATTCAAACACTCCTCTCAAATACGTCTCCCTGTATGTGCTCATTCTCCTAACTGGGAATTATCTCAACAACTCCTATCCAAGTCCTAAGCCAACCTGCAAAAACAATTTTGAGGATCTTTCTGAAGGCCAGATAGGTGGAAGCAGATCTCACCTCCAATGGTAGAAGGTTCCATAGGGGAGGATCCCACCATAGGAAAGGTTTATCTCCTCAAGTGGGTTGGGCTAATCCCATTTGTCACAAAGAAGAGGGGGTCAACTTATTTTCCAAAGCACTTGAAGGCAGGACAAGAAGCAAAGGATAGAAACTCATCATGGAGAGAAACGACCTGGAATTGAGGAGGAATTTCCTGACAGTGAGGACAATCAACCAATGGAACACTTGTGGATGCTTCGTCGCTGGAGGTTTTTTAAGAAGAGACTGGACAGTCACTTGTCTGAAATGGTACAGGTCAGGATCACCTGCTTGAGCAGAGAGCTGGAATAGAAGACCTCCAAGGTCCCTTCTGTTCTTTTTTTAAAAATATTTTTTTATTGTTTTATATCATACATTTCCTTTCTATGTTGAACAATCTGCTCTCTAGGTGTCCAAGGTGTTAAGACAAACACCATTATCATCATTATGATTATAATAAATGATAGCTGTCCGTTTACTCGGAGCCAAGCTGCACTAAAAGCCTCCAATACAGGAACACAATGTTGCCAGCCAATCAAGATACAAAAAAAGCCACAAAACAGACAGAAGATATTTGAAACACCAATCAAGCAGAACACAGCAAACTCCAAGACCAATAAACACAGACCAAGACTCCCAACCAATCAGGATGAAGAAAAAACCATTCTGGCACAGCATAGGCTAGCACCAAATTTAAAACTGAAACGGCTGTGAAAGTCTGACTCACAGACGAACACAATACAGAAGCCTGATGATGGCAGATGAGATTCTGCTGAAACGTTGCTACAACATGGGAAAATACCCGAACAAAGCTGAATACCATACATGTAAGTACCCGTGAAAACTTAAGAATATATATGTGTGTGTGTGTGTGTGTGTGTGTTTTTTCTGAGGTTTTTGCGGGTATTTGTATGTGGATCTTTGGTTATTTGGGTTTTCTCCTGCATAAAATTGGAAGTATCTAGGCAACATTTTGATGAAGTCTCATTCATCATCTTCAGGCTTTTATGCGCATCTAGTTTTGGTTACCACGATTTAAAAAAGATGTAGAGACTCTGGAAAGAGTGCACAAAAGAGCAACAAAGATGATTGGGGGACTAGGAGCTAAAACATATGAAGAATGATTGCAAGAATTGGGCGTGTCTAGTTTTATGAAAAGAAGGGCATGATAGCAGTGTTCCAATATTTGAGGGGCTGCCCCAAAGAAGAGGCTCCAAAGCCCCTGAAGGCAAGACAGGAAGCAATGGATGGAAAATAATCAAGGAGAGAAGCAACCCAGAACTAAGCAGAAAATTCCTCACAGTCAGAACACTTAATCAATGGAACGTCTTGCCCAGGGGTGGGTTTCTACCAGTTCGCGCCTATTTGCTAGATTCTAAGCAGTTTGGAGAACCGGTTGTTAAAAGAAATTACTGGGCTAATCCTGTAAGGAAGGCAGGAAGGAAACATTCTGGTGTTGCTTACAGAAACTGCCTCTCCATTAACTCTTATTACATTCTTGGCAGGACTAGACTTCCTGTCTCAGGAACTTCTCTGGAGTTTTTTTTCCCCTCCTTTGCTGGTACTTTGCTTGTGTGGAGTGACCATTCAAAGTTACAATGACACTGAAAAAAATGACTTATGACCATTTTTCACACTTACGACTGTTGCAGCATCCCCACAGTCATGAGAGGCCAGGCGAGGAGATGCGTGCCTCGATGTGAGTGATATTGAGTTGGCCACACCCAGCCAATAACATGAGCACCAAGCCATGTCCACCCAGTCACATGACCACCAAGCCATGTCCATCAACTAAGCCATGCCCACAGGTTGTTAAAAAATTTGAATCCCACCCCTGGTCTTGCCTCCAAACTTTGTGGGCACTCCAATACCGGAGGTTTTCAACAAGAGGTTGGACAACCATTTATTTGAAATTGTCTCCTGCTTGAGCAGGGGGTTGGACTAGAAGACCTCCAAGATCCCTTCCAACTCTGTTACTTCATTGATTTCATGTGAGTTTCACCAAATCAAGGACTTTACAGTCAATGTATTGTATGAATTGCTGGATGTAGCTCTGGAGAGAAACAATGACAGCCGTTTGAGAAGGAGATGAAAGAGGAACTTACACTTTAAATTAATGCCAAAGGGGTGTTTTATAAGAAGAGTCATCAAACCAACCAGCCCCTGTCTAAACTTTACACAACCTGTACAAGTGGAATGAGGAAAACTAAATGAATGTGTTGTTACTGTGCACTTCTTTCATACTTTGTCAGGCTAATTTTTTTCTAGAACAAACCTCACAAACTAATTGGGGCTGATGCTCTGGGTCCAACGTATAAAATCATATGCTAAGATATTGTAGTGACCCGGGGTGTGGCACGAAAGCAACACAGCCAGAGAACAGGTCTAACTCCCCTTTATTGCTCCACCTTTATTTTATTTATTTTATATTTATTTATTTGATTTGTCAATCGATTATAAGATAATAGGTATAAATCTAAACATGAGTAAGAATACAGGAAATAGGTACAAATAAGTGGGGACAATAGGACAGGGACAGTAGGCACAATTGTGCACTTATGCAGGCCCCTTACAGACCACTTAGGAATGGGATGAGGTCAATAGTGGATAGTTTAAGGGTCAAGGAATGGAGGTTAGAGGATATAAAACAGAGTCAGGTAGTGCATTCCAGGCATTGACCGATCTGTTGCTGAAGTCGTACTTTCTGCAATCAAGTTTGGAGCGGTTTACATTGAGTTTGTATCTGTTGTGTGATCTTGTATTGTTGCGGTTGAAGCTGAAGTAGTCATTGACTGGTGGGACATTGTAGCAGATAATTTTGTGTACTACACTTACATCCAGCCATAGGCGGCATAGTTTAAGGTTGCCCAAGCCCCAAATCTCAAGCCTGGTGATATAGGGTATTCTGTTGTGAGCAGAGGAGTGTAGTACTCTTCTCGTGAAATACTTCTGGACTCGTTCAATTGTATTAATGTCCGATATACAATGCAGATTCTAGACTGATAAGCTGTATTCAAGTATTGGTCTAACAAAGGTTTTGTATGCCCTAGTTAGCAATTCAATATTTCTGGAGGAGAAGCTTTATAAGATTAGATTTATTTTGTCCCCAAACGTCCCTCCCTACAATTACTACAAGTCCTACAGCAAAGCTCTCATATGCACCTTCAACAGCCTCTGGCCTAGAGTAGTCCAGTAAGCAAGGTTAGCCAAACAGTAACCAAGGCAAGAAGTCCAGTTAGCAAGGTTAGCAAAACACTAACCAGAGCCAGAA